ATTGCAATTTAGCTGGGAACTGAATGATCAATTCATTCCATATTCATTGGGTAGCCATCATGTGCCAAGAACTGTGCTGGGTACTAAGTATACTTTAATAGACCAAACAGAAAAAACTGTTACCTTCATAGGACCTAGAGCACAGAAAAACTGACAATAAAAAATAATAATAAACTAGCCTATATATACTAAAAATCTGAGGTATATTCTATGATGAGCTCTAAACTGGAGACAAGCAAAAAGATACTGACTACATATATGAGAATCTGAGAGGGGAATAATTAAATTGTGTTCTCCATGATGTGAAGCCAGCAATTAAAGTCACCAAATTTGAAGGAGGAGATGATAATGAAAGAAAAAGCACATACCAAGACATAAAAATATGATGGTACATGTGGGTAATTTTAAGCAGTTCAAGTCAGCATAGTTTGAGACAAAAAGAACAATGTTGTAAGAAATGAGGTTTATACAGAAAAAGGGACCTAAAAACAAAGGATACCTTTATGCCACAGTACAGACTTGGTTTGCGTCCTGTCCCACCTGAGTTTGTTTAATCTATCTACTGTACTCAAAACACTCATCATTGCTGAAACCGGTTTAGTTCAGTGGATAAGAGCGTCAGCCTGCGGACTGAAAGGTTCCAGGTTCAATTCAGGTCAAGGGCATGTACCTTGGTTGTGGGCACATCCCCACTAGGGGGTGTGCAAGAGGCAGCTGATCAATGTTTCTCTATCATTGATGTTTCTAGTTCTCTATCCCTCTACCTTCCTCTCTGTAAAAAAAATCAATGAAATATTTTTTTTTTAAATACTCATCACAACTATAAAAAGGTAATGGTCATAAAAAAGTCAAAAGTAGTAATGCTGATATCATATATTGACAAAGAATAAATTCAAAAAAAAGAAGGAAACCAGAATGGGAGAAATTACGAGAGTGAAGAAAGAAAGGAACATCCTATCTAATAATCCTATTTAATAAAAAAGTAATATGCAAGTTGACCGTCACTCCAATGCACAAGATGGCTGGCCCCATGTGGTCAAAGATGTCTGCACTCATGTGGACATAAGATGGCCAGCAGGGGAGGGCAGTTAGGGGAAACCAGACCTGCAGGAGAGGGCAGTTAGGGCCATCAGGCTGGCAGGGGAGCAGTTAGGCATCAATCAGGCTGGCAAAGGAGTGGTTAGGGAATGACCAGGCTGGCAGGCAGAAGTGGTTAGGGGCAATCAGGAAGACAGGCAGGCGAGCAGTTGGGAGCCAGCAGTACTGGACTGTGAGAGCAACGTCCAGTAGGATTGGGCCTAAACAGGCAGTCGGACATCCCTTGAAGGGTCCCAGACTGAGGAAGGTGCAGGCTGGGCTGAGGCACACACACCCCCGTGCATGAATTTTGTGCATCGGGCCTCTAGTTTTCTATAAAGATTTTTTAAAAATCAATTCAAAAAAATTCAAAGCACAAAACTGACACAAAAGCATAACAATCGTGATATATGGTTCATATTATTAATATTATCATTTTCAAATCCATAATTCTGAGGTATAGAAAGGAACCCTTGAATCAAAAATGACCAACCTTTATATCACCTTCATGTGAATAAAATATTTCCCATGACAACTATCTACATATTTTGATTAAAATTTTTTGAGGAAAAAATCACATTAACACAGTATTTTCAATTAACTTTTGTTGCTGATTAATTGCTCAGACAGGATGCCAGGCCAGACTATATGGTACTTCTAGTTTTTCTATGTACTCCATGCATTTCTGATAAATGGGAAAAGAATAGATGACCTGGCAGAAGGCTCAGACAATAATATGTGATTTACAGGACATGAGTGCAGCTACCATAAGATTTATCTGACAGCCCTCTCCGATAGTGGACTGTTGAGTATCCGATGGAATGATTTCTAGTCTAGAAAGTCTACTACTGAGTAGCCATACACATTATTTATTTATTAGATGTTTTGGGTTGAAACCATTTTTAAATGATGCACTTCACAATGCACAGTCATAAATTTAGCTTTAAACCCAAGAAGGGAGGTAGTGTTATTGGAATGTGTGTCAGGCTGAATTAGGATGAGCAACACAACGCTTTTATAAAGTGGCCTTGAATGCAATGTCAATTCTTTCAAAAATAATATTAACGTCAAATGAGCAAGATACAAACACTTTACACAACACTATAGTAATATTACTAGAACTATTTAACATCTTCTTTAAATTTGTATAGATTTCTATGAAGTTTATACACCTACACAACAAATACCAGGAACAAATAAGTTACATGTTTGTGAAAAAGGTGAATCTGAAATATAATTGAGAACTTGTTCAATTTTCTTCTGTACATCAGAAAGTACACAGTTTTCTAAAGAAAGTAGACAGTCATATTTTAAGTAAGATATAAATCATGTATAGTAGCTTAAGTAGTTCTTAAATTATTTTATATGGAATTTAATACATGAATAACCTAATTTAATAAACCTTAAATATATATGTCTTTACTCAAAAATATAATGCTGAGTATTTTAAGAAAGCTTTTCAAAACTAAATATTAACATTTTGCCTAAATAAGGTTAAGACTTAAATGATATAAAATGTGACATGGTTTCCAATCAACCTATTAGAGTGGATATTGAAAAATATAATCCTTACTTGAAGCTTTAAGAAATTATATAGTGCCCTGTTTGTTCTTAATGAAAGCAAATTAAATATGATAATTTCCTCATTTCTTAAATTTAGGCTCTATACTTGCTTTTATAATAAAATGTGAATAATTTTTAACAGCATTTTTAAAAGGCAAAAAAAATAAGCTTTAAATGAATTGAAGAAAAATAATCAGAAGATGGCTGACTGTCATGAAATTAACACCAAGTAATTTGTAAAGTTTTAAATCAAATTTGCAGATATTAAGTTCATAAGCATATCCCATTATTTATGTGATTAAAAAAAGAGTTTTTGACCTGATCTTTCGATCTTTGGCACTCAATCCTCTCCATCTCCTCTTAAAAAATTAATTAAAATTTTAGCAAGATGCTAGCTTTTCACTTCCCACCCTATCTCAGACTAAAAAAAAATTATCAATCAAACTCAAGGCATCACCACCCAGTATCTGCAAAATGTCGACTTCAAATTCAATTTCATATCTCTTAAGCTTTCATGTGGAAAAAGATAGTTCACTTCTTACCAAAATAAATCACTTTTGTGATTGCCAATCTGACCTCTTTGAATTAGGAAAATTCAAAGTGAAAAATGTAATTATCACCCTGGAACAATCTGTATACATCTGGAGCTAATTCTGGCTTCATTTTTCACATCATTTTTCACACTGTGCAACATCTTATAGAAATGCCATGGGACTTTTGAAGAACTCATAAAAAATGTGAAGGACTTCAAATAACCAATAATGTATTTTATTCAAACAAAAACCTTGAGACTATCTGACTTTTGCAACTTACTCTACTAAGTAAGCTTCATATCCCATCTGATTGGATTAATATTAAACAGCACTGTGACATACATGACAAATAGGTGTATTAAAACATGTCATTCTTTATCTTTTCAGCTTCTGCATTCAACTATGTAATATACTATATCTGAAATAGCTTTCCTGTATCAAGAATGTATTCAATTCTTTTACACTAGAAAGTGAAACTTCATGATCAAAATTCACCTTTGAAAAATTATATCACTATAAACAATAAACTCATACTTCTGTGAAGAAACATACAAAACTGTAAGCAAATGCTTCTTAAAGAATGGTATATGGTAACTATCATCCCACCAATAACAATAATCATGCAATTATTTCAATTCAGATTACTTAATGGGAAATTTTATCCAGGCAGCTTTTAAAGAAATTTTCTATAAAAGATGATTAAATTACAAAACATGAATCTCACTAAATCTAAGAATAATAACCCCACTATAACATAACTACTCCTCACAAGTTCATTATAGAAATCTATTAAGTGTAATCTCTAAAAGTAATTGTTCTTATTGCATTTTATTGACAATGCATAGTATTGATTTTTCACACCTTCTATGATTCTTTAATTTGTATTCATGAAATGTCCATCAGCACAGTCTAAGTAAATTTGGCAATATAGACACTAAAATGAATAAATCGATGCAAAGAAACATTAATTTTGCATTATCCTTATTCGTCAGGCAAGTAAACCATGAGAGTTGTAAATGAAGGTCAAAGGTTTTGAAATGGGTCAGAAACCTTGACCTCTAGACCAATACCCTTCCTATTAAAAAAGGCTATTTTAAAGTTTTAAGTAGGGGAATTTACTACCAGCAAAATATCATTTTTAAAAGGCTACAAAGAAAACTCTCAATAAAAACATTCATCTATTTAACTGAAAAACAAAAAAAGAAAACATTACAGGATACATGATTTTAATGTAAGTTTTTAAGAAAGAAATTATCAAAATTTACCACATGAGATATAAAGTTCCTGAACATTGAATGTAATTTTGTTTTTAGAAATTTATTTACTACATCTTATGATGACTGTCATATTTTGTTGATGTTTTCCCAAATCTCCTCTGCATGTCAAAAATAATTAGCAATGACAAGAATTCAAAATTATTTATTACTCATTTTATAACCTCTGCACAAAAGGGAAGTAAACCCACTATTCCCAGGAGAGTCAAGAGTGGTACTCCACAAGGTACAGAAATAAATCTGTTTCTATAGCCTTAATACACACAGCAAAAACATTCAGCCATCTCAAGACCATTTGATCTGAACATTTTTAATGTGACTCTAAAATGCTGTTTCTATTTCATCTATCCAATTTATCTCAGTTCTAACTTCAGTTATCCATTAGTATCAAAGACAAGGAGTAATCCTCTTATAATACAAATAACATTATTTTAAAACTGCAAATTCAAAACTTTACTATAACAAAACTTTCTAATAAAACCATTATAATTTCCTTGTAAAATATTTCATGTGAAAATTCACTTTTAAATCAACATTATTCTTTGTCACTCACCTGTGAACAAAGTAGCATAACCAACTCCACAACTGAACTACTAGACTTCATGCAAACCAAACCTATTTTAAAGAGAATTAAAAAAATTACAAAGTAAAAAATATAAGAAATTTATTTTTTATACAACTTTGCCCAAATTGGATTTTAATATAAAATTTAGCATGTCTTGTTAAGAACAAAAAACATACACATTTTATCATGAGTCAATAAGGTACTCTATAATTACTTTAAACTTGGCATCAAACCTACCAAATCTTTTATAAACTATTTCATTTCAGCTTTCAAACTACTAAAACATTTGTTACAACTTCATATATAATGACATTTCACAATACTTAAAGAAATGTGCACAACATATGCCATATTGGTCAATATCATCTACATTTTGTTTGGGGGAGAGGTGATTGTTATACATGCAGAGAAGGGAAATGGCTCCCTGACCTTTGCTTTCTCCACCACACTCTCTCCCTTCAACCCTCTAGCTATCAATCAAGTTTCCATTTTGTTTCATGGCAGCAGACATCCCAAACACTCTTATTAGTACCTTGACCTGTGACCTCACACTAAACCTTAACAGAAGTGCAAGCCGTTGTCTGTTATATATTCTTGATTTCTTATAAATTCGTTTACATTGCTCTTTTATGTTTCATTTGGGTTCACCAAAAATATCTCAGGAAGGAACTGCTATCCAATTATCTAAAGAATTCTTTAGTTTTGATTACCAATAAAATCTAAGGTAGTTAATTAAAAAGCATTTTATAACAGTAGCTTTAAAAAGCAATGCCAATAATTAAAAGCACTAAATTACTGTTACATTACTAATAATCAGGAAAATTGTAATTTTTATTCTATATTGTTCTAGGCCAGTGGTTCACAACCTTTCTAATGCCACGACCCTTTAATATAGTTCCTCATGTTGTGGTGACCCCCAAGCGTAAAATTATTTTCTTTGCTACCTCATAACTGTAATTTTTCTACTGTTGTGAATTGTAATGTAAATATCTGTGTTTTCCGATGGTCTTAGGGGACCCTGCTAGCGGTTCTTAACCTGTGGGTCGCGGCATTAGAAAGGTTGAGAACCATTGTTCTAGGCAAACTTAAGTTTAGTTTCCAGGGATTAACAACTAAAATAATTATTGGTGGCCCTCACACAATTTACAGAATGACCTTCTATCTTTCTTGCAGGCACCCTATCCCATTTTATTCCTTTTTTTAGTCCCCTTTCTCTAGTCCTTTCTTCTACCTTATTTTAGTCATGATCCCTCATACCTTCTGATGACACATGTTGGCACTCTTCAGCCTTACAAGCAACATTCAAGTGAAACAGGTTGCTCACCCCCTTCACCTTTTAGAAAAGTTAGAACCATTTTTTCTAAATGTCTCATTGTTTCATTAAGCAAGCAGGTCACTAACTAAATTGTGGTTTCCTTACAGCTGAGATGAGCATACCACCTCTGACTAATGAAGTGGCTGAAAGAAAGGGCACAGCAATACTCCACTCTTCATTGCTGGTGAAGCCCTCTGCTAGTCTAAAACCTTGACAATTTTCATAAAATATAACCAAACTATAGGAAGTTCCATATATTTCAACTACAAAATCCACTACTTCCAGCAAGTAAATTCAGATTTTTCTATAACTAGGTAATTATTCTTATTGCTTGATTCTAGTGTTTTCAAAATTCCTTTCAACTTTCCTTTTACAGCATAGTATTTGGGCTCACATCTGACAGGTCTTTTCTATCTACCCAGATAATGAACAATTATAATAAAAACAATCTTGGGCCATCCAAAGTTTGAAAGTAATAGGTGATCTTTTGTCCCTTTACAAAAGATCATAGCTTAGTTCAATATTTATAGATTTAAAAATAATTATACATTAGTCTTATTTATCAATAATAAAGGTTAGGCCGAAACCGGTTTGGCTCAATGGATAGAGCACTGGCCTGCGGACTGAAAGGCCCCAGGTTCGATTCTGGTCAAGGTCATGTACCTTGGTTATGGGCACATCCCCAGTAGGAGTGTGCAAGAGGAGCTAATCGATGATTCTCTCTCATCGATGTTTCTAACTTTCTATCCCTCTCTCTTCCTCTCTGTAAAAAAATCAATAAAATATAGTTTAAAAAATAATAATAATAATAATAATAAAGGTTAGCAAACCAGAAGGTTGATGTTATGTATTTGGAAGTGAAGATTCAGCAATAAGTATATGCACTACTAAGTGAGTTAGTAAAATGTCAAATAATATTTCATAGTTTGATTAAACAATTCATAAGTTTACTGGAATAGTGTTTTGTATATTTCTAAAAGATGGGGAGTGGGGCCAGGATGGATATAGTATGTTAAGTTTTAAATAAGAGCATCAGAAGATGAAAGATACCTTATATTACACCTCTAATATTAAGCACCTGCCCAGAGGGCACTGATACTCCAAACACAAATGGAGAACCTTGGGAGTGTAAACAGGAGATAATACTAATAAAGGACTGTTTATGAGATTACACAACTTAATCACATCTCTATTTTTTAACGAAATTTTTGCCCCTGGATGACACTGGCTGCATATATGACAAAGCAATAAATGAATTATAAACCTCTAAATCTAGTCTTCAGATTTACACTCATTCTCTAAGACTTATCCAAAGGAAGACCATAAAATAACATTTGTAGTCAAGTTTTAAGTTGTTGCAAATGTACCAATTTTTATTTCATACACACACACATCCTATTATTATACCAATTATTTGAAAGAGAACAAGTTAATGTAAGCTTAGATGTCTGAATAGGCCCATGTTTTGACCTCCCTAAAAGGCTCCCAGCACCAAAGTTGGGTTCAGTTTGGTTGGTTTTATTTTTGGTTGGTTTTTCAAAAATATGGAATTTTAGTCTCTTCAAAGAAGACAAACCTAAGTTGCTAAGACCAGAGTTTACACGCTTCTGGAGTTTCATAACCAAAGACCACTACAATTTCTTCACCAGAGACTATTTATCCCACCTCTATTATCATTGTTTTTCCTTATTACTAAACTCATAAATATTAAATTATTTACTGGATATTAAGCTAGCAACATCTGAACACACTGATCTATCTAAACTCTCAAGTATTCCATGAAAAACAGTCATGACCATTTATCATCTGGAATCAAACAAACCTTTTAATATACATATTTACATATACATTTTTAATCACCTTAAATAATTTACATAAAGAATAGGATGGTGATAAGCATTATCTGAAGTTCTGATAAGAATGTAAGCAATTAGAAAATATGTGATTCTACACATGATGTACTATGAAGTATTATATCTAATTCAACTTTTAAATCTAATTTCTATTCATCAGAAAATACATGGGATAGAGAAAACATTAGAGGATATAACCAAGAAGCAATAGCTTCTTGGTTATATCCTCTAATGTTACCAAGTCATGTAACATTCTATAGAACAACCAACCAACCAGATTTCTTCAGTAGGTCAACAGCATGAAAACAAAAGGGAAATACGACAAACTATTTGACTTTAATCTATATATATAAAAGCCTAAGCAACCAGCTGACTGGCCAGTAGCTATGACTCACACTGACCACCAGGGGGCAGACACCACTCAAGCCAGCAGCTGCTGAGCTGCAGTGACTTGGCAGTAGCAGTTCTAGGGCAATGCACCAGAATCAGAGAGAAGCAAGCACAATTCCTGGGTGTGTCACCTGAGAACTACCTTCTCACAATCTAGGACCCCTCGGGGGTGTCAGAGAGCTGTTTTCGGTCTGATCCCCACAGGCCAGACCAAGGGACCCCACCGGTGCACAAATCTGTGCACCGGGCCTCTGGTAAAGACATAAGAGGCATAACCAAATGCAATAAATTGATTTTGTTTAGATCTTAATCAGAAAAAATAAATAATAAAAATACATCTTTTAAATAAAAATGAATATGAGTTGAGTATTAGATATCCTTATGGAACTATATTATTAATAGTAGGTATTATAGCAGCAATTATAATTATGTAAGAAAATACATTTTTTACATGAATACATGAATTATTTAGAGGTGAGTCAACATGATGTCTGGGATTATTTTAAATATTAAAGCAAAAAAAAGGAGGTAAATAAAAAAAACTATTGGCAAAACAAAAACAATTCTGGTAGTTGGTAATAATAAGTTCACTAATATTGCATTTTCTACTTTATAAATATTTAAAATATTCATTTAAAGTTTTCTTAATTAAAAAAAAAAAAAAACATTTCAAAATTTTTAAAGTGGTAACTTTACCAGTGCCTGGTATCACAGCTAGTCCCTAGCAAGGTGAGAATTAAAACAAAGGTCTCTCATTTGGCTCGATGATTAGAGCATCAGCCTGCAGAGTGAAGGGTCCGGGTTCCATTCCGGTCAAGGGATCATGCCAGGGTTGTGGGCTTGATCCCCATTGGGGGTGTGCAGGAGGCAGCCTCAATGATTCCTCTCATAATTGATGTTTCAATCTCTCCTACTCCCTTCCTCTTTGAAATCAATAAAAATATATTTTAAAAAAATAAACATAAAAGGTCTCTTGCCTCTTAGTACAATGCTTTTTCTACTATACCATACAACGATTACCTCTACTCAAAACTTTTCTGTGTTACAATGCATAAAAACAACACCCAAAAAATTACAACCTAAAATATGTACATAAGTTACATAAAAATTCTTATATTTGTTTGTTTTTATAAACACAGTCCAATGAGTAGGCACTGCTCAAGTTTATAGCTGATCAATAGTACATTAGAATTCACCAGTATAAAATGTTGAGGGATCTTGAAGTGGCAAGTTTACTACTTCTGAGTATCTAAGGTGATCCTATTTTGTTGGATTTACTATGAAATTCAAAAATCAACTAAAAAGCAAGAGGTTATAATTAATACATTTAGTTTAGAGTAATGAAATAAAATATAAATATGTTGTCACATCACTTTAAAAAATAAATATTTGATATGTGAAATGTAATTTAGGGAAAGGACCTTCTACTTTTCAATTCAATTCCTTTCAAATTGTATTGTTTCCTTAGGTCAAAAAGTTCATGGCTAAATAAATTATATCTTGCAGCAGGTAAAATAAATTTTCACCCCAAACTTAATTAAACATTTTTAAAACCTAAACTTTCTTCTTCAAATAAATTCAATGCTACTATTTGACTATATGGAAATGACTTGCTCAGCACAATTCCATATATATCTTCAGCAGAGATGATGATGAAATTTTCAGATTAGGAAAATCTAAGTATCTAATCCTAAACCATTAACCATGGCACAGACAAGCCAGATTTAGCAAACATCTAGTCAAAACACTTTTGAATGCAAAAATCAATTTCACATTATCACTGATGAAAGTCCTCTAGGTTCTCCTTTGAAAAATTAGTTATGAGATGAAGACTGGTATTTTAAAGTCAGATTATTAAGCTCTTAAATAGAACTAATTTTTTCCACTAAACTGGTATATGCTGTCTGAAGAAAGTAGGTACATTGATTTTCACTTGATTCAGTTACTCTCTTTAATATTTGAAGACACTTACTACATGGCAGGTGCCCTATGTAAAATAAACTTTTAAAATGTCCCAATATTGCCGGGACCGGTTTGGCTCAATGGATAGAGCGTCGGCTTGGGGACTGAAGGGTCCCGGGTTCGATTCCGGTCAAGGGCATGTGCCTTGGTTGCGGGCATATCCCCAGGGGGGGATGTGCAAGAGGCAGCTGATCGATGACTCTCTCATCGATGTTTCTAACTCTCTATCTCTCTCCCTTCCTCTCTGTACAAAATCAATAAAATATATTTAAAAAAATAAATAAATAAAATGTCCCAATATTCTTCATCCTTTCCACAAATAGCGTGGTTTTCAATTATCTCAGTAACCTACTTCTGCATGCTACCTTAGGTTAACACAATTTCAAGTTATACTACATAGAAAAGACCTACTCATCTATGTATGACATAAACTGGATAGTGTATAATACTACTGTTATTTCTAAATGTTTGTAAAAATAATGCTACTAATAGAGACTAATAATGTATTCCTCGTTTTCCTAATATGTGGCAATACACTGTTGTTTGTAAGGATCTTAAGTTCAAGTAAAACCGCAGGTAAATGCCCCACTAATTACGATAACACTAGTCTCTCTCCAATTCTCTATTCTCATAGTTAATTTTTTAAAGACAAAAACTCTTAGTTCCTCAGTTCAGTATATAAATTTCTCTTTCATTCAAATCACTGATGAAAAATAAATAGATTAGAATTAGAGGTGTGACATACTTTTTTAAAGATACAGACTATGAGAAACCTTGTTAAAAGTTTAAAACACACACACAAAAAAAAATAAAATAAAAAAAAAATAAAAAAAAAAGTTTAAAACACCTCTAAAAAAATTAAATATCCATGCATCTCTTATTATCCATTTAAGTTTTTAATCCCGAAATTTAAATATTTTTATATAAAATGAAATAAAGAAAAACCACTTACTTGTTCCTTCTATAAGTAGTTCTTGTCCATGGCTACCCAAAAGTGTCCGAGAAAGAAAAGGTGCAAAATCCACAAAAATCTCTCGCAGAAGAGGAGCTGCCTTTTCCAAAGCATGTTCAAGCCTCTCTGTAATGCTAATTAAAGATGTTAGGGTCCCTAAATTATTCAGTAAAATTTATCCACTTTCTAGTTTTTAAAATGCGTTCCCACAGCAATGAAAAATTAAAGACTCATTATCACTATGCATACCATTCCTTCTGCCTGGACTATCCTTGTTTTATTCTGTAGCTACCAGCTCCCCTCCCCACTGCCTTGACAAACAACCACTCCAAGAATCAGCTCTTGTTGGATGTCTTATAATTAGTCAGGTTAGATCACTTGATTTTAGCCTTATAATCTAAACAAACTCTCTCAAGTCCTTATCACATTTGTCTATTCACCCACCAAACCATTAGCACTTCCAGTTCAAGAACTATCTTCATTTCTAAGTTCTCAACTGCAGCATATAATAGCAACTCAATAAATGGTTATAAACCAAAATTATCAGTTTATATTCTTTTTCACTGATACCTATCTCTGAAACAATTGGTTTCTAATATAATCTGAAAAACTTTTCATTTGAAAACAGTATACTTTACTGACACATTAATAATTTCAATTTATACATTAATATCTTTTTGACTAAACATATATATATTCATATACATATGTATACATAAATAAACACATATGTACACATATACTTACATATTTAATTAGTTTTTTTTTTAAAAGCGCTCTGCCTTTCAGGAAATTCAGTTACGCACACCTTTAGTTTCTAACTTACAAAACAAACATATATACAAACAGCCACTACTTACGTACTATTCACATAAGGACTACTTCCTATTCATACTACCAACTAAAGTTGTTACTGAAACCATTAGTAGGCCGCTGGAAAATTCTGTTGTGAATAACCAGCTCTTTCCAAGTATTTACTTATCTCTTAGAGCCTCTTATACCCCTGATTATGTCACAACTGCAAGCCTACACTTGCAGCACCTAAGTGACTGTATTTGTGGAGTGCTATGAATTGTCCAGCTGTGGTAAGAAGGATTAAGAACTCAGCTACGGGGTTTCTATTGATGGAAAATAGTCGCAGAATTCCAAATTAGAATTTAAAATATATTCCCAATTAAACAACATTAATGACAGTATAAAAAATATCTATAATTCATTATCATTGTGGCTTTGGTTGACTAGCTAAAACTTTTTCCCCCCAGCAATTTATTTATGGAAGAGGAATAGCAAATTTTAAACTTTAAGTTTATAATCCTATGAAAAATAAGCCATAAGCTATTATCTGTGTAATTAAATATTTGCTATGCATTTACTAATCACAGACAGCCACTTCTCATAAAACTTTTACATCTCATCTTTAAAGAGGTGAGGGATCTGCAGGAAGCAGCTGATCGATGTTTCCCTTTCACATGATATTTCTCTCTCTCCCTCTTTTTCTCTTTCTAAAAGTCAATGAAAAAATAAATAAAACCCCTAATATATTTGCAAGTTACTAAATATCATGTAAGTTTTTAAAAATAGAAACAAATAATTTTTAAATAACTATATGTAGAAATTTTAAAGTAATAAATCACAAATGTCCGGATCAGTAACTTGAATACCTCATATTTGAAACTTGGTCTTGTGTAACTGAACCAACTGCTGGAACAGAGGGCAATTTTGCATTTGATGATCTACCACCTATAAAAGAAAATAACCATTTATAGGAATTTTCTGTTTTTAGATACAAGATTCAAACAAAAAGGATAACTTTATACCAAGTCAACAAAAAATGTATCATAATGCATTTTTAAACACCCATTATAATTTGAATAACATTAAAACCTACCAGTTAACAAGCTTTTTAATCATTTAATACATAAACTTTAGTTACAAGTTCAATTATCAAACTGACTAATCCTTCATCAATCCATCAGATGAAAGGTAATAGAAAAATAAATTATGACCAAGTTGGGGTCACAAGTGGCAAAAGAAATTTATAAGTAGAAACTTATTTTAATTGAAGCAAAGGGCAGAAACAATTCCAAATTTAGCCTTAAATAGGTATTACCAACATTACCATGAAATCTGTCATTATTCAGTCAACAAATAACTTCTGCCATAACCTGATTGTTTCTGAGTCTAGTCTAGCAAACACAACCCAGTGAGTACCTAACAAATTTTTCTTAAATTTAAACAATGTATAGTCCCTGATTTGTGTCCTGACTATAATCCTATATAATAAAAGCCTAATATGCTAAGTGTCCGGTAATCCAGTTATCCATTCAACCAATCAAAGCATACTATGCTAATGATATGCTAAGGCCACACAACTGCTAGCTATGATGTGCCCTGACCTCCAGGGGGCAGACAGTTGACTATTTGATCTTATTTTACTCTCCAATGAAGACTACAGATACCCTTAAACTACGCTTGTATATCTATATTGTTGAATAGCCAATTCACTTTTACAGTAAATGGTTCAAACTATGTCCTATAAAGTCATTATCTTTGTGTTTTAAACAAATAACTGTGCTTATAAATTTTACCTGGCAATTAAGTATCTGTTCTTTAAGAATGGATAGGCACAGAAACAAGTCTTGAAAGAGTGAGTCTAGAAGAATAATTTGAAGAAGTTCTAACAAGCTCAAGAGAATAGAGGGGAAAATAGTTCTGATTTAAGAATCATAATATATAGGATAGGACATCATTGAATTTCAGCTAGAAGTAGGACCTATAAAAACAAGAAGAGTCATTAGTTTTCTAAGGCCAATGTTAGGGAGAAGAAAATGCCCATCTATGACACTGGATTCTAACTGGGATGGTATCCTAAAGACCTGGAGTATACAGATATGCACATCTTATTGCAGCTGCTATTCAAGAAATGAAATTTCAGTTTCTGAGAGCAGTATCCTAAAAGGGTGTTAAGCTAATATTAGGATAAATACAGACTGAAATCTCATCACAAATCTATAGAAAGACCAAGAAAGACAGCAAACATGTTGAAGCAAATAAAGAATATGCAAAGCTGATAAACAAGGAGAGAAGAGGGGCTCCAAGGATCCTGGATTCTATGCACTATCAGAGGTCAGATGCTTTTATCTATTTTTCCAAACTACAGGCCTTGGTATCCTGGAAGGACTTAAAGGGGACAAAATGGTATGCACAAAGGATAGATAAAAGAGAGAGACAGAGAAATGTTCGTGTGCAATGTACAGAGAAACATGGCAGAAACAGATGAGAAGGTAGAAAAGCAAGTTCTAACATCTGAGAGCTGGCCTGGTAATATCAACTAGGCCCACCATTCCTGGTGTTGTTAGGAGCTGGCTTAGAATCCAGACCTAGGTCTTGGTATTCTCTCATTGACTATAACAGTTTCATAAAACAGCAACATTGGACAAAGCCATGTCACAACCATGACAAATCACCATAAAACAATACCACTCTATGATCACGTCCCCAGAGAAAAAAACATGAACTCCATCTAAATAACAAAGATAATCGAACATCCCAGATCCTAATATAAATGACTACTGTTTCACTGTAAATTATGCTTCAGGTCTACTTAAGTCTTCCATGCTTCTAGATAATATTTATTAGGATGCCTAATCATTGAATTACCCATGATTCCTAACAATATCCAATTCAAAGGAAAGCCTCACATCCTTCACTTCTCCCCATATAAACTCAGCTCCTATAATAAATCTTTTCTAACTATTACCGAGATGCCCAGAGTTTCCTCATTCTGTGCATTCTTCCTCAGTGATCAACCATAGGTGTTTTTTTTTTTATCCTGATAGTCTTTGTTTGGGGACTTGAGATAAAAATCAGGCAGAGAAAGACAGCAATCATGGGTTCATTTTAAAAATGAGCAACCAAAGGCATCTTAACAACTGTAGTTAGCCAGAAGTTGAGACCTAATCCTATATAATAAAGATGTAATATGCAAATTGACCCTCATGCCCTCATAAGATGGCTGCCTACAACCAGGTCAGCAGAGGGGTTAGTGAGGGACAACCAAACGACTGAACAAGCAGGTGACTAAGCTGGCAGGAAAGGCAGTTGGGGGTAACCAGGCTGGCAGGGGGGTAAGTTTGGGAGCAACCAGGCCTGTGGAGGGGGGGGGGACGAGGGGGGGGGCAATCAGGCCAGCGGGTGGGAGGGGGCAGTTAGGGGTGACCAGGCAGGCAAGTGAGCAATTAGGAAACAGCAGTCCCAGATTGTGAGAGGGATATCCGACATCCCTCCAAGGGGTCCCAGATTAGAGTGGGTGCAGGCTGGGCTGAGGGGACTGCCCCTCCCCCGTGTATGAATTTTGTACACCAGGCCTCTAGTTGTGATTAAACACAGTAGACATAAATCAAGAACACAACACAAACAAATCTGAGACTTGATAAAAGACTAAATAAGGAAGAATTGTATAACTATTTAAATTCTTTAGTTTGCCAACCTACAACCTCAAGATTACATAAACTAGATGATAAATAGTTGAATACTCTAAACATGTAGTCTAAACATAATGATTTGCTTGTGATGAAGATGTATACCTAAGAACTAAGGGCCTTATTGTAATTTGGTTCCAAAGGAATAGCCATAGTAAACTATCTCCAGCATCTGCCTTCACTACTAAAGGATTCCAAATGTGGCAGTAAATGCAATTGGGTTTAAAAGTTTAGAGTTCTTATCTAAGAATTTATAATCTTGATAGTTATTTTCCCAATATGACCACAACATAAAACTCTGCACTTTAAACAGCAAAAGACCCTCTTTCCCAAACCTTCTTGCATTAGCCTGAAAGCAGTTGGCTGGAGCAGAACATGTTAGTTGCACCAGGGTGGGAGGGTGCACTGACCTGGAACAAGGCATAGGAACCTAAACAATGTGAGGAGGACATTAAAGTAGTAAATAAAACTGAAAAGAACTTCGAGGTAATGGCTTGGGATTCAGAGTACCTGTGAGAATTAATGGTTTCACTAAATATAGATACATTAAAGTATATATAAAATGCATTCCTTCATTCACATATAAACTAACAAATACACCCAGCCCCATAGAAAAAAAGTATAAAACTTCTACTTTTATGTGTTTTTAGTTTTTTATTGAATTTACTGGGGTGATATTGGTTCACAAGTATACAACTCAGTATCATCTGCACACTGCACTGTGTACCCATAGCCCAAAGCTAAATCTCTTTCTATCCCATTTAGCCCCCTTCACCCACCTCCACCCACCCTCAACCCCCTTTCCCTTTGGTTATCACTACACTGTTGTCTGTATCTATGGGTTATGCATATATGTTCTTCTGCTTAATCCTTTCACCTTCTTTCACCAACCCTCAAACCTCCCCCCCCCCCCCAGCTGGTTCCTGTATCCTTGCCTCTGTTTCTATTTTGTCAGTTTATCTTGTTCATTAGATTTCACATGTAAGTAAGAACACATTATTTTTCTGTCTCCTACTGGCTTATTTCATTTAGCATAATAACCTCCAGGTCAATCCATACTGCTGCAAAATGGTGCCAAAACAGATTGCTAGTAGTCAATGTATAAAAGGTCTGGCCAACCTTAATGGCTCTGAATGGTTGGAGCTATCAACTCATTGTTTAGTTGAGACAGTGGTAGTTGAAGCAACTTTAACTTGTTAATCATATGTAAATTCTTTTTGGATTTTTCTATTGGAATTTCCTGCCTAAAGGATGTGGGTGTTTCCCATAGCCTCAATAAAAAGGGACAGCAAAGGCCAGAGCAGCTGGGGTAGTCCTCCCCCTACAGGTGGACTCTTGCCTGGTCTCCCATTTTCCCAAATTAACTTTTGTCCAGCCTCTTCATTTGTGTTTGACCTTCTCCAGAAAACGGACTCTGAAGTGGAACCCTGAACCATGCAGGTCGTGATAAGGGATCCCACAAAACGGTAAGATTTCCTTCTCTTTTAACAGCAGTGTAGTATTTCATCATTTGAATGTACCACAGCTTTTTTTTATTTTTTTTTAATCCTCACTGGATGATATGTTTATTGATTTTTAGAGAGAAGACGGGGGTAAGGGGACATCAATGACTTGCCTCCATATGTGCCCTAACCAGGGATCAAAACTGCTACCTCTGGCCTATGATGACGATGCTCTAAATCAGAGATCTGCAAACTGCAGCTCACGAGCCACATGCAGCTCTTTGGCCTCTTGAGTGTGGCTCCTCCACAAAATGCCTGGGCAAGCCTATTTTGAAGAAGTGGCATTAAAAGAAGTTTAAGTTTAAAATTTTTGGCTCTCAAAAGAAATTTCAATTGTACTGCTGATATTTGGCTCAGTGGACTAATGAGTTTGCCGACCACTGCTCTAACCAATGTAGCAATACTGAAATGAAAAGGTTTACACAGCTTTTTTATCCATTCATCTACTTGTGGGCATGTGGGTTGCTTCCAGGTCTTAGCTATTATAAATATTACTGCATGAACATAGGATTGCATATATTCTTTCAAGCTAATGTTTCAGAGGTTTTTTTTTTTTAATATATTCCCAGTAGTGGGATCGCTAGATCATAAGGTAATTCCATTTTTTAATATTCTGAGGTAACTCCACAATCTTTTTCCACAGTGGCTGTACCAGCTTGCATTCCCACCAACAGTGTATGAGGGTTCACTTTTTTCCACATCCTCACCAACACTTGTTTTTTGATTTATTGAATATAGCATTCTGGTAGGTGTGAGT